CTTGACAACCACACAGCCGAGCCTTCTTTTCCTTGCTGCGCGGTGACGCTTGGGTCCTCAGACAGGGCACCCGTTGAAGCAGTGGGTGTTTACATGACGCTACTCGATAGGACTGCCAGGTGCTGGGAGGGGGGAGGGGGGTGTTCTGCTTGCAAATCGCCCTGCATCCGTGAAACTAATGTAGAGATGAGATTAAACTTGCCTAGAGATACATTTGCAATTGATTAACGCTGAGCCACTGTGACAAATTGTATATACTTTTGAGGGAGTGTGTGCAGGTCTTTGTGTGCGTGTGTGTATGAGACAGAGAAAGACAGAGAGACAGAGAGATAGAGAGTGAGAGAAAGAGAGAGACAGAGAGGGAGAGAGAGCATGTAATGCGACATTGCTTCAAAACTTGGTGAACAAAGTTTCATTAAATCCTTGACATAGCACTAACACCTGAGTCAGGGCACTTTAAGCACAGCTCACATTTCTTAAAGAAGAAGAAAAAAATGACCACATAAAATGTGTTTGAAAAGTTTCAGGTAAAGTTAATGTTAATGTTCTGAGTTAATGATAAGTTCATGTTTTCTGCCTGCCTGCCTCTCTTTCCTACTAAAAAACTGGATTTAGAAGACTACTGTTTCCTCTGCACCCCTCTGTTTTGTCTGGTATTAATGAGCAATTAACTTTGCATACAAGGTCATGCACAATGGTATTGGTTGTCAGATTATGCTAATGCATTTGGCTGTGGCTGTGGTGAAAGAGCACGGGGAATCCCTGTGAATAGGGAGCATTGAGGCCTTTCTTTGAGATGAGAAAATGATATGCACACTGTACCGACATGCGCTTTAAGAGGATTAGGGCACCACTCGACATCCATACTGACAACTGCTAATAAATGAGCAGGGAAAAGGACATAAAGTGTTTCAGTCTGAGGCGCAACATGCAGCTACTTCCAAAAACGTCCCATGGTTAAAAGTAGGAATTGAAGCATAGATAATCTAAAATAAAAACTAAACTACAGTTAAAGGTGGTGACAGAAGACATGTTAAAGCATGATCACGTGTAGTAAAGCAGATAAAAAGGAGCCCGGGGTGAAACTAAGAGGTTGCACTCCCATGACCAACTTAGCGGGAACAGGTGCAGCCAGAGTTCAAATGGAGCGCTTTGTGTAATGATATGGCTCCAGTCCATGTGGGAGAGAGGGAGGGAGGGAGGAAGAAAACCCATGTTTAATACAAAGTTAATATCAATTTAATGCTTGTCACTGCTTCTCTGAATCCTCTGGCATTTACTTAGTGTTAAGCAGGGCCTTTTGCAGATGCTGCGTGGAGGAACCTGCGGTGCCATCGGTGAGCTGAGGTGAAGCTGCGGCCAAAACTCCCCAAGTGGGAGACATTGTTGAGGTGAAGCTCAGACACAGACTGAATGTGCTCAGATAGATGTTGGTAAATATAACAGGGCAAGTGGAGGGCTTTGGTACAGCAGGACTGAGGAACAAAATAATAATTTATGATGTTAATTTATTTGGAATCAACAGCCTGTTGCTTATTTTGTAGCATGTATGGTTGAGCTCATTTAGAAATGATTAACTTTACATTTAACGATTTACATGGGAAACAAACACATTAATCTACATTTACAGTGCAGTTTTTCAGTTTCTGGTTAAAACCCATATCGGTACAATGTATTTCCACTCACAGGGAAATATTATTTGTCACTAAGTGATTTTAAGCCAAGCAAAGAAAGTTAAGTTCTTTTTTTTTTTTAGAAAAGAAAACACTATTTTATATCATTGAGGGAAAACTATCTCACATAAACTAGTAAGATACATTTGCTTAATTAAGTTAAAACAAAACAAACATTTAAATGATGGGCTCCTTCCTAAAAGTGTAATGGCAAAAATAAAGGAACATGTTTCAGACCGTGGAGAACTTTGTGATGAGCATTAAGACAAAAAAAAAAAAATCTTTTAAGACCTTGAAGAAATTATATCCAACAAGGAAAAAACAACATATTACCAAAATAAAAGTGGGGCAATAATAGTTTTAAGTAAACTGTTTCAAGGATTTTTGATTATATACGTCAAACATTTTAAGTATTGAATATTCTCTAACAAAGATAAAACATGTTGTCTGTTAAAAATATTAGAACATTTTACATAGAGCCATTTTCTTGAAGAAATGTTAAGAAAGACAAGAAATAATAACACTGAAAAAAAAAGAACCTACTGTACGTGGAAACTGAATTCTGGGAAATAACATTTGCTCCAAGTTATAATCTAAAAAGAACTGAAATCCGGTTCCTTTAAAATTTGTGGGGTTTTTTTTACTCATTTTAGGAATAAACATATTTTTGATGCTTCAATAATTTTATCATTTTATTAAATTAAAGTTTGGTTAAAAATATGACGACTGCTTTAATTTCAAAAGTGGTTCATTTTTGATCATTTTAAAGAAGAGTTCTTAAAGTGAAGAATGGGAAATGCTGTGGTGATGTTTCAGAAGAGGGGATAATCTAAATATGAAATAAAGGAATAGTATCTTCTCTGTTGTTTTGTCTGAACACAATGACAGTTTGAAGATTACTTTAAAACCACGGAACAACTACCTCCAAAAGGCCAGAGTGAATGTTTCTCCTCCCTGCACAAAGCTCTGACTAAAGTTCCTTTGAGAAATGATGAACTGATGACTTTGAAGACGATCAAATTAGAAGATGCTGAATAAAGATGTGCAACACTCGCTCTCACTTTCCATTCACATTTGAATTGGATGCAGACTGAAAAAATCTGCAGGACTAAGGAGGAGGATGGACAGGCTGGTAACTGGTGTCATACACAACAGGGCTGCAACCAGTCAGCACAATCTGTTCATCTTTGGTTAAGTGAAAAGATGGGGAGTTCCCCTTTTCCTCGGTGATTCCACGTCACCGATAAATAATGAGGGAATAATAAACAGTTAACCACCTGTCGGATCTTCGGCACAACGGCACGGCCCATACAGAGGCTGTCATGCATGGGTAACACATTTACTCAGTCGCTTTCACTTAACGAAGCCAAAAGAGACTCAAGACAATGGTTAAGTTCATCTTTCTGGTGTAAACTGCTGGGGCCCTGTCGGCAAATGTTTGAACTGCGTTGATATTTGGGTTAAACACGGCAAATACATTTAAGAAAAACCACAAATCTATCCAAGCATAGAAAAGTTAGGAAAATACTTCAGAATCAGCGAGTATTGTAGATGTTTTTTTAGAAAGTAAAAACTGTATGATAAGTGCATAAAATATGCAACATAATTCTTCAATGTTATTTGTAGCCTGAAGCATCTAACCTGTAAAAAGATCGGACTGGAATGATGTCACAGGAGTTGGTGTTGGTGCTAATATTTCAGAGATGTGCTTTTAATGGCTTTAATTCAGTCGCAGCCAGCTGTTTTTACTCGGCCTGGTAAAAGGAGCGGAGACGTGGCAAGCTTGCAAAGCTCGTAGAAATTAGTCTCGGTCAGCCAGAGCAGCCGATGCTTCCTACTAACCATCTGCTTACGGCTCACAAAAGGAGGATTTCGGGCAGCCAAGTAAAGGAATACGGGCTCATAAAAAAGCATTGAAGCTCTCGTTACTTATTGGAGGTGTAGCTGTGGTGAGGGTGAGCTGCGTTAACGCCTGTTTGTGCGCCCTGCGCTCATAAAAGCAGACGCACCTCTGATAAGCCCTGACTCTCCAAAGGATCATTTCACGGAGGCGTTCCCTTTTAATTATCGGATTGTGGCAGCAATTTGCATTCTTCAGTATTTGGAATGATTTTAAATGATGTTAACTAACTAGACGCCGAATTTGTTCTCAAAATGACCGAAGACTCTTGCGCCATTGAACCTTGGATAATGTTCATGTATGCTCACTGTCTTGAAGTATTCATTCATCCCATAACGGCCTCAAAATGTAGTTATATATGCGCACAGTCATAAAAATACTAGATAATAAGTCTTACACTTTTAACACTGGAGAGAACTCTGTGCGTAAAACAATTACGCAGCTCGTTTTTAGCACAAATGAATAGAAATAAGATAAAAAATAAAATAACACGATTGATTCTCTGATTCATAGATAATTTAAAAATAACTTATAAGCTTTTTTTTTTTACTGGATTTACTGGATTCTACATGTGCATCTTAAACCTCTGCGTCTGCGGCGCACCCTCGCCTGTTCACCCTGCGTTAACAGGTTTTCGGGGGGCCAAAGCTGACAGAACACGACTATCAGGCTCCAAGCCGCTTTAATAAGAGTTTTATATGGCTCTCAGTGTCCGCTCATATGAATGCGTTTTAAATCAAATCACAGATGCACTTTTATTCAGCCGGTTAAAATAGCAGAACAAAACCGTCTTTTGAATTAAAGCTTTTTTTTTCTATTCCACTGGGCTTTTTTTTAAGCCGGGAGAGGGGAGAAGAGAAAGGCCGAGGGGCACCTCCTCCTCCGCAGCTGAGGGTGACAGTTAGTTCATGGTTAACAGGATCATGTGCGCACGGCTCAGGCCGCACACTTCTCCTGTGCGCTCTGCGCCGCGGCTCCGCGCTCTGAATGAAGCCGGTGCAAAAAGAGTGATATTTAACACATCTGTTAAAGCGTTTTGATAGCAGAAATCCGTTTAAGACATTATTCCATGACGAGGGCCAGATTGAGTGTTGAGAATCCTATGAAATCCTAAAACTGATTTACATTTTGGATTTGGCACAAGGCATCTGCACACATATTGTAAATCTAAATCTAATCTAAATATAAATGAACAAAAATAAAGTTTTTACATTTTAAAGTAGTTAGTTGCCAGGTGCAATGTCTATAATTATTTCCTTATGATGTTTTCTACTCTCAGAACTACATTTCAATAACATCACAGCTTCGCATTTTAAAATGTGTTACGTTTCATTCCTCACAACAAAAAGCCGCGGAATAATCTTTGTTAAAGTGTTTATTAAACACCACACATTATGCGCCGGATAATGAGCGAGTCTGCAGAGATTGCTCTTTAATTAGGCTGCTTGGCAGTGCCAAAGAAACCTCATTGAAAAGAAAGTGGTCAACATGCAAAATTGATGACTGACCATCTTTTGTGGTCACTATATTGTGTGTCGCTTGCTTATGAAGTCTAATGCAATCATAAATTGGGTCCCCCGGCCAATCAGCGGCCCGGTGGATGGTGCATGAAAGCGTCTCATGTGGAGAACTTTGTTGAGCCCCATTGTGAAGCTGTCAGTCCGGAGAGGAGGTGGGGGGACCGGCGGCTATAAAACTCCTCTCCCCAGAGTGAGGGAGTCAGAGGAGTAAGCAGCCATTCACACGAGTGATTCTCTCTCATCTGAAACCAGGAGTATTTCAACTTTCACACACTATTTTCAAAGCGGGACCATGATGATCCCAAGCGCCATTGCGCCCCCTGCCCTCTACCCTGGGCTCTACCGACCCGCTGCGGCTCTGCCGCTCCACCAGACTCTGCCGTCAGCCTTCCCGACCCACTCCAGCTTCCTAGTGGAGGACCTGCTGCGCATGGGTCGCCCCGCCGCCTTCATTAACCGTACGATCCCTCCAGCCAGTGTCTCGCTGCCCACTGTCACCACTTCCGTGTCATTCAGCTGCGCGCCCGCGGAACGCACGGTGGTCACGGCCGCCGTGACACGCGATTCGTGCTCACCTAAAACGTCGCTGTCGAGCAACAAGGATCCAACCTTTCTCAAGTTTGGAGTGAGTGCCATCCTCGCACCTTCACCAAAGACCGGTAAGTGATGTGTTGTTGTTTTTTTCCCTCATTTAAGAATAAATCTTTATGTATGTTTATTATATATATATATATATGTTTTTCTTCAACTGTATTGTTGCCCTGTAAATAACGCCTACGATGTTTCCCACAGCATCTTCTCCACCTACGCTCCAAAACCTGCACTCCAACAAGACCTTCCCCTTCCCCTGCTTTGACGGAACCTTTCACCCCATATTCAGGACGCCCTATTTACCAGGTAGGCGCAACTTTCTGCACCGTGCCTTTGGGGCTATAGATTCAACTGTCTGCGGCCTTTACAATTCTGTCTGAACTAATTGCATTTAAATGTAAAACACTTTCAACCCCTGTCATATATTTTACTCGAAATAGAGGCAGAAAGGGGACAAACAGCCAGAAAAGAAGAAATCACTGTCTTATTATTGGGAGCTCTGGCCCCCAGCCGGACCCACCCACCCTCCCCCTAATTAACCAATTATCCCAAATCGTCACGCTCTAAATTTGAGGCGGGGTGGCGAGTTATAGTCCACCCTGCTTCCCATTGGGAGGCGTTTTGGCATTTTCCCGGCCCACGTTTTCCCACAGCGTCCGGGGGGCCAACGGGCTGCAGTGGCGGGCAACAAAAGCCCTCAGCACCGTGACCAATTTGGTCAGCTCCCACCGGGCGAACCACCCACACACCCCGGAGAGTGACTTTTACCAGGCGGGCCAAAGGCGTGAACCAGTCATGCACTAATTTCCCCATTAGGCGCTATTCAAAGTTTTCAATATTCTCACAAGACCACATAGCGCGTCCTTGTTCCCAATTCTGCTGCGGCCACAGGGCAGCTACAGTCAGGAAGAAGTGTAGCCAGCAGCGTAGCACACAGGAAACTTGTCATGTGAGCTTGGATTTGAAAAAGAGGAAAAAAGACCCCTAAAAGAAAAATCCCAAATCCTTCCAGCTGGGGGATGTTTTAAGCCCAGCA